ATTGACACAGTGGCTGCAACAATGGGCTCAGGCATAACAATGGTCATGAGGATGGTGCAGGACCAGGCAGTGTTTTGTTCTGTTGTACATAGGGTTGCTGTGAGTTGGAATCGACTCGATGGTACCTAACAACAGTTTCTTCCCTGTGTTTCCACAGGGCTTGGTTGGCCATTTCTGGTTCTTTAAACTGCACATAAGCTTCTCCTGTTTTTCTTCTCCCTCTGTAGTCCCTGACGAAAGTAATATCTACTATATTCAGTTGTGTAAAGAAGTGTACAATGTTCTTCTCATTGCAATTATAAGAAAGTCTTCTCAAACGAACCACACCATCATTTACCACAGGTGAAGATTTGACCTGCAGGCTCTTCATTGAAGGGTCCACATCTTCGTTGTTTATCTCATATACTTCCACATACCGCTGACCTATATACATGGGGTGATTTTCTAAGGCTTTCTGCACATCCTGCTCTGATTCTGTTTCAATTAAGGCATCACCCCTTTGTTTTCCATCTCTATTTAAGAGGAAATGTATTCCATTCTCCCCATTGCAGGTTCTGTAGTCTGAGAAAAAGTTAAGCACATCTTCCACAGTGCATGAACAGGGCAATCCTTGAGGTCCAATGAGATAAACATCATCCACTGCCTCTCCTAACTTGGATGGAGCCAGCTCATACTCAGGGAGTGGTGGAAGGTCTTCCTGGTATATATATATAAAAGCCCCATAGAATTTCCAAGGAGTGCCTGGTGGATTTGAACTGCTGACCTTTTGGTTTTCAGCCATAGCTCTTAACCACTACACTACCAGGGTTTCCTTTTTTTGAGATTGCATATATTATTTATGAAGCTACTGCTGAGCATGTTGAGCTTTTCAATCTTTCAAAATAAAAACTTGGATGCTCTTAGCATAAACAAAGCTGAAATACGAACTCTTTATACATCTTTCCAGGATTCTTGACATGCCATCTCTCATTCACTGGCTCACAGATTCCTTTTATTTGGAGTATCATTTGGAAGTAACTGAATTTTTTCTGTACTTGGGGGCATTATTTTCTATGCCATTACTACTATTGTCTGATTTCAGCTGTTCATCTTGTTCAGATTCTTTCCCATCATCTGGATGATTCTTTTTCTTTTGGGTATACATGGAATGTCATGTATTTGGAAGTTCTGGGTGGTGCAAAAGATCGATGTGCTTGGCTGTTAACATAAAGGTTGGAGGTTCGGGTCTACCCAGAGGCACCTCAGAAGAAAGGCCTGGTGATCTGCTTCCAAAAAATCAGCCATCGAAAACCCTATGGAGCATAGTTCTATTCTGACACACATGGGGTCGTCATGAGTCAGAGTTGACTCAATGGCAACTGGTATTGGTATTGGTTTGCACCATTAAATTTATTGTGTATTGCCTTATCAATTTTTAAAAAAATATATTATTGTTTCTTTTAGTTAAAAATTAATACATAAAATATATTTTTTTGTAAAAAAGAAAAATCAAATAATACAGAAGTATATAAAATGAAAGCCTTCTCATATCTCCATCCTCACCTTCCAATTCAGTTTCTCTCCCTTGGCTTAACCACTTCTAATAGTATGAAGTACATCCTTCATGACACTTTGCTTAAGTACCAATTCATGTGCCAACACAAATATATAGCTTTTAAAACACATTGGATCAGGCTAAACATGTTGCTCTATATTTGCTTTTTTTCACTTACTAGTATGTTAGGATTTTTTCCATGTCAGTGTAAGGTCCTCCATCTTAGTCTTTTTATTAGCTTCATTATAACATGGTACTGATGTAATCAGTGCCATAATTTATTTATCCATTTTTTTTATTAATGGATAATTATACTGTTTCAGTGTTTTCTTTTTGCCATTGCGGGTAACGTCCTTCGAAATTTATTTGTGTACGTGAGAGTGTCTTTTTTAATACGTTGTTTTTGTTAGGTGCCGTCGAGTCAGTTCCAACTCGTAGCGGCCCTATATACAGCAGAACGAAACACTTCCTGGCCCTGCGCCATCATCACAATCATTGCTATGTTTGAGCCCATTGTTATAGCCATTGTGCCAATCCATCTCATTGAGGCTCTTCTTCTTTTTTGCTGGCCGTCTACTTTACCAAGAAGCACTGGTGACACAGTGCTCATCTGCTAACTGGAATATCGGTGGTTCAAACCCACCAGCTGCTCCATGGGAGAAAGATGTGGCAGACTGCTTCCATAAAGATTTACAGCCTTGGAAACCCTGTGGGACAGTTCTACCCTGTCCTAGAGGGTCACTATGAGTCCGAATAGACTTGATAGCAACGGGCTTTTGTAATATAGATATTTCTAATTAGAATTGGTGGGTGAGGGGCATGGATATTTAAATTTTGTTCAAAATTAGCTGTATCGGTTTTCATGTTCAACTCAACAAAGTATGACAGTGCACATTTTTTATTGTCTCCTGAATTCTAGAAATCAATAATGTTTTTAAGTTTTATCAACCTGTGAGTGAAAAATATTTTTTTGTATTTGGATAATGCATTCCCCAAATACTGTGAGGTTAAGAATTTTTTTTTTTCATATGTTTGTTAGCCGTTTACATTGTCACTGGGCTTTACTGTTCCTTTGTTTTGCCTATTATTTTCTTGGGTCTTGATCAACGTTTTTGAGTTTCTATGACCTGCTCAACGCTACTCTGACACACATGGGGTGGCCCTGAGTGGGAGTTACTCCATGGCAGCTGGTGGTGGTGGTGGTGGATGGCATGATTGGAGTCTGGGTGGTTCAAATGGTTAAGCGCTCGGCTGCTAATGGAAAGGTTGGCGGTTCCAGTCCTGCCAGAGGTGTCTTGGAAGAAAGTCCTGGCAATCAACTTCCAAAAGAATCAGCCTGGAAAACCCCATGGAACGCAGTTCTGCCCTGAAACACATGGGGGCACCACGAGTCAAAACTGACTTGATGGCAACTATTTTTTTTTTTTTTTTTTTTTAATAACGTGATCTGGGCCCTGGTTTTGGTTTAGTTTTAAGTGGCCTTTAGAGTGGTCGTGTTTATTGTGGTGTTCAGAAGGCCTTCTTAAAGGAAGCTAGGGCTCATCTTCCTTCTTGTAGAAACTCCTAGTTTGTTTATTTGTTTAAATCAAATTTATTATGTATTTCTGGTGACAGAGATAATGAATACTCAATATGAAGCATTTAAAAAATACAGAAAAATGGAAAAAAGTGTGAAATTAATGATTTACATCATCACTGACCCAAAATAATGTTTTTCCCTTTGTTTTATATAAATTATATAGGTAGGAACATAAGACATAGACAAATTTTATATCTTGTATTGTAAAAAGTTATATTTTAAAGTATGTTCATAAGTAAGTCCGTAAGACGGAAGTACAATGACCTGAAGTCATAAACCAAGTTTGAGTTCTTTAAGGTGGTGCCCAGTTCTATTCTTTTTTTTAAATTGTGATTTAGGTGAAAGTTTACAAAGCAACTTAGTTTCTCATTAAACAGTTAATATACAAATTGTTTTGTCACCTTGGTTGCCAACCCCAGGGTGTGTCAACACTCTCCTCTTCTCCACCCCAGATTGCCTGTTTCCATTTGTCCAGTTTTCCTGTGCCTTCCTGCCTCCTCGTCTTTGCTTTCGGGCTGCTGCGCCCATTGGTCTCATATACGTGACTGAGCTATGAAGCACGTCCCTCACATGTGTGATTGTTGGCCTATAGACCTGTCTAATCTTTGGCTGAAGGGTGAACCTCAGAAGTGACTTCAGTACTGAGTTAAAGGGTGTCTGGAGGCCATACTCTTGGGGCTTCTCCAGTCTCTGTCAGACCGGCAAGCCTGGCCTTTTTTTTTTTTTGTGAATTTGAATTTTATTCTACATTTTACTCCCCCTCTGCGGAGGACCCTCTATTGTGATCCTTACCAGAACAGTCAGTGGTGGTAACCAGGCACCATCTAGTTGTTCTGGGCTCAGTCTGTTGGAGGTTGTGGGCCTAGTTCTATTTTTGTTGTTGAAGTTTAACTGGAATTGATTGCCAAGAAAATAGAAAATCAAGAGATGTGGTATTAATAATTTCTTACCTTACTTAAAAATTTTCAAGAAATTAACATTTTCTCCAGTTTAGGAAAACTTGTTAAGCACTAGCCAAATCCTTAATCAACTGACATAAAAATCTTCCTGGTTTAAAAATGAATCATCCTTTCTTTTTCTTTCTGAAATATACGGGCATGGTTAGGAATTATAGAGATACAAATTTGATAGTCAAGTTACTAAATTAAATGCACAATTACAAAAGAAGGTATATTTATTCATATATTTGGAATATCTAATTTAGTTACCCATGTTAACCAACTGGATAATGGACCTCTTAAGGAGCCCTGGTGGTACAGTGGTTAAAGTGATTGACTACTAACTAAAAGGTTAGTGGTTCGAAATCACCAGCTGATCCTCAGGAGAAGGATGTGGCAGTCTGCATCCATGGAGTTTTACTGCCTTAGAAACCCTATGAGGCAGTTCTTCTCTGTCCTGTAGGTCCCAATGAGTCGGAATCGACTTGACAGTAGTGGGTTTTTCTGTTATCTTAGGAAAGATGCCCTGCGTAAGGAAAGTATTGTGAAACTAGAGCTCTTAAGTTTTGATGCCACCAAACCAAACCAAAACAGTTGTTGTCCAATCAGTTGCGACTCATAGCGACCCCATGTGTTGCAGAGTAGAACTGCACTCCATAGGGTTTTCAAGGGTGTGACCTTTCAGAAGCAGATTGCCAGGCCTTTCTTCTGAGGTGCCTCTGGGTTGGTTCCAACCACAAAGTTTTTGGTTAGTAGTCAAGCAGTAAACCATTTGTGCCACCCAGGGACTCTTTTGCTATTTCTGGAAGTATTCAGGCTGACAGTAGAATTATGCCTTAATTTCATTACAAAGTCTGGCACATGACTCTCCCCCAGAGTGTAGGGGGAAGGTGAAAGGGCAGGGGACCAATCTCTTTGGTCAAACACTTACTTTCCATTTGAATTCCAGGTGGTTAAATAAACTTGGATTAGCTGTAATCCATCAGGCATCCACTGCAAAGGATGAAGGTATGTTCTATTTTAAATTTCTGAAACTTCAGCAAGCATATCAGAATGTCTGAAATAGGAGGGAGAAACAATGTCAAATTCTACGTATAGTCTGATCCTGACGAAACATACTTTGGCGTTTAAAATTATCTGAAAATATGTAGAGACAGATGTATTCACACAGGCTTCCCGACACGGAATCCAGCTTCCCATGCTGGCTGCGAGCGCTTTTCACACTTCACCCACACTTCAGCAGTTGCAGGCTTCACTGACATCTCAGGACATCTTAAAAAATTGCCCATGCAAATGTTTTATTGCCCCATTTGCTGAACTGTTACTCACAGGCATGAATTTCCCTGATCTAGTCAGATAACATTCATCCCACTCTTTCCTCTCTGAAAGTTTAATATTTCCACCAGATGGGCGCTGAGACTAATACCCAAGGGTTGTGCTAGAATCCTGAAAGTCAGACTGTGGCACAGGCCAGGTTTTATAGCCCGGCCTGTAGCTTCCAGGATTCAAAAGCTGCAGAAGTCTAATTCTTCTTAACGATGCCATTATACTTTAGCCTTGAGAAGAGGGGGGCTTTAGGGGGCAGGCCACAGAGCTGATGCCATTTCTGAAATGCTCAGACCACATATAAATCAGGAATTGGAAGTAGGCAGTTAGATTTTTTAATAACAGAATCATAAAATCTTCAATTTAGAAGTGGAAAAGTGGCAACTTGAATTAAAACAATAAAGAAGTAGAATACAACACTGTGAAATCCGTGTCATAACCATGTTCTGGTCCTCTTTTCCATAAATTAAGCACCCATTGTATTTTTGAAGTATGTTTATAGATTGTGAGGAAAAAAGAAAACTCCACAAAAATCTTCTCCTTAGCCTGGTATTTTAGACCTTCCATGATATGGCCTCCAATGACCTTTCAGCTTTGTGTTCTACCATGTCTTTTAGGGGTCTCTATACATTTGGCTCCGCCTGCTCTGTGCCTGGTGCCCCCTTCCCTCTATTTGCACTGTTGATGGTTTTACTTATCGTGCCGGCTTCAGCTCATTAGGATTCCTACGATCAAAATTAATCACTATGGATCGTATGCTCCCTTAGTATGACTCACATATCTTTTGAGGAATAATTTGATTTTCCCTCAGCTACAGTCAGTCCTCTCTCAGGGTACTGGTGTTTCTTTGAGGGCAGAAACCTGAACTTGACCATTCGTTCTTCCCTCTCATGTAATCCTCTCGCACCAGGTCGTCCACTAGAAAAATGCTTTCTGAATTGGATTGACTTTGCCATAACCAGATGGAGAAAAACCTGTGCTCACGCATTATGGAATAAGTGGCAGCGATTTTAAAACCTGAAGCATTTTCGTTTCTGTTGTAGAATGCTACAGTGAAAGTGACCAGGAAGATCCTGAAGGAGCTGTGGAGACGCCGCCCCCTCCTTCCTCGTCGGAGACTCTGGCGGCTTCGGTAGGTGCAGTCCTCATTCGTCTGTTGGTCTTGGAGCAGCTGTGCGGATGACGTCATTCCTCCCGTTTGGTAGAAACCACCTTGGCCAATGCGCTTTCAGAAAAGTTCAATTACGGGGCCTGCCAAGGAGCGCGTCCGAGTCTGGGGCTGCTGACTGAGTCTTCTCCATAGCAGCCCACCTGCACGACAAACGTGTATTTGTGCATCTTGCTCAGAGGGGTCACGGTGATGCAGAGGGCTTCTAGGTGATAGATCGACACCTGCGGAGACTTTTCGTTTTTAGTAGACTTTAGTTTTTAGAGGAGTTTTAGATTTAGCTAAAAGTTGTACAGGAAGTACAACGAGTTTCCATATACCCCCCGTTCCCCTCTGCACATAGTTTCTCCTGTTATTAACATCTCACACTGGGGTGGCACTTTTATTACAGTTGATGACCCAGTATTGATATGTTATTATGAACTAAAGTCCACAGTTCACATTAGAGTTCACGCTTTGTGTTGTACAGTCCTATGGGTAGGACAAATGCATAATGTCATGTGTCCACCGTGAAGGCATTATGCAGAAGAGTTTCACTGCCCTAAAATGCCCTGTGCTCCACCTCTTCATTCTTCCCTGCTCCCTGACTCCCTGGCAACGCTTCATCTTTTTACTGTCTCTATAGTTTTGCCTCTTCTAGAATGTCATGTAGTTGGAATAAGCCTTGTTTTCTAATGGTTATTTATTTAAATTGCTTTGCGTAGGTCCATTTAAAACAATTTAAAACATTTAAGTCCCTGCCCTTTGTACACACTGCCCATCAGTACTACCGATTAGATGGTTTAGTGAGGACCTTGGATGGGCCCCACCCGGGTGAGCCCACAGCCCTGGCAGAGTGCTGGGAAGAGGGTCGAACTTGACTGACTTTAGTTTTTAGAGGAGTTTTAGATTTAGCGAAAAGTTGTACAGGAAGCCGTAACAAGGTTTCTGAAGGTGAACTTGCGGAAGGATCTTTAAGCAGTCAATGATAGTGAAGATGTGGGACTGAGCAGTGTTTCCTTCTGTTGTACAAAGAGTCGCTATGAGTTGGAACCGACTCAGTGGCACCTAACAACAACAGGTACATGTGCTCTAACAAGGTAAAATAAATTGAAAGAGGATGAAGAAAATAGCATAAAGAGAGAACGAGAGTCAGAAAATAGCAGGAAGCCAGGAGAGAGGGTAGTGCACTAAATACACATATGATATGAGTCTATATGTTCACTAGGGATGGGTCCACATTAGATGTTAAGCTTTGGAAGCATTCAAAGGAAGCTCAAGCTATAAATGGACACTAAGACTATGGAGAGTTGCTTCATATTTGGATGCTCATGAGCGTTATAGTGCTGGCTGTAGATGGACCAAACAAGGATCATTGGAGAAGTTGATTTATGGCTTTTAGCACCTACCATGTGTTAGATCTCATACTAGGTGCTTTAATATACGGTCATGTAATCCCATAATAACCCTGAGAAGTGGTATTTAATTTGCATTAAGCATCTTTTCAAATTTATTGACCGTTTGGATTTTGTTTGTGTAGTGCCTGTTCAAGTCTTTTGCCGACTTTTCAGCTCTCTTCCTCCTCTCCCCTCTCCTCCTCCTTCTTTTTATTGTTTTTGATGTGTAGGATTTCTTTACTTATTAGCCTATGGAATCGACTCAACAGCAATGGGTTGGTTGGTTGGTTTGTTTTTTAATGTACATTAGTCCATTAGTCCTTTGTAAGTTGTAAGTGAGGCAAATCTCTTCCACACCATGACTTTTTTTTTTTTTTAACTCTGTTTTGTGGTTACTTTTTGTAAACAGGTACTCTTGATTTTCATGTGTCTGATTTATCCATCACTTCCATTGTGGTTAGTGCCTTTGTTTCTGGTTGAAGGAATTGTTTTGGATACTCAGGTCACAAGGAAGCAGTATTATCCTCACTTTATGGGTGAGGACACTGAAGTTCATAGAAGCTGAGTGGCCTGGTTAAGCACCCAGTAAATGGAGCACTGAGATTTGACCCCAGTCTGGCTGGCCTTACAGTGTATGCTCTTCCCATGATACCATGGTTCTTGCCCATCCATGAGCCCAAGAAATGACAGGTCCTAGGAGGTTACAGAAGCTCATGCATATACTTACCAGGCCTCTTCTGCCAGACTTTTCTATTTCATGTAAAAATGTCTTTACTTTTATTTGTGTTTTGTCACTTCCCGGATTTAATGTGTTAAGCTGATTATTTAAACCAGACCTCTACTGTTTTTATACACTGTTAGTTGGGAATGGTAGTCACTTTTCTAATTTATTTGGCTAGTGGCCAAGCCCAAAAAGACATCTTTGTTGAATAAATATGTTTAGTAAAATCTCTGTGAAATAGAATTAGCCAAATTAAGACAGGTAAGAAGAACATTAAACTATGACTGTGGTACAAGACCAATTTTTGAACTAGGCTTACGATAAATCCTTTCTTAAAATAGTCATAGCTTTTCCTTAATGCAATCTTTCTTTTCTTTTAGAGTTATTTTCTGAACTTAGAAAAAGGCTTTTCTTTTCTCTGTATCACGTAAACTGAATGATATCTCTAGGCCCTAAAATGTCTTTGGGCTTTTAGCAACTTTTTGCTGGAGAATTACCTTCCCTCGTCTTTTTTTTTTTTTGCTTCTAAAGAAGTCACCAACCTTGTACAGAGTAGGTTTCAAAAAATGGTGCTGGTTGTTGATTTAATAGAGAAACACATATTTTTGTTTACTTGAATGCTCTCTTGCTCCCTTTGTTTCTCTCTCTCTCCACGTATCTCTCTTTCTCTCCTATTTAAACCTGTAACATGCAAGGATTTGGTTGGCTGTCCTTCCATCTCTTTCGGAGTTTCTCTGTTCCTTCACTCTGGCCCTCAGTATCACTCTGCTGGGATTTATTTTAGCTCTAAAATACTTTGATTTTCAGTTTCATAATGGGAAACTAGCATCACAGATCACTACCAAGAGTGTTGCCCAGCACCTAGAAGTCTGCTTGATGAAAGTAAAAACAACCAAACGGTCTTTTTAGATGAAGGATCATGGCTCAGTTGCTTGGTACGTGACAGTCTAACCTGATGTTTCAGTAGAATCGCAGTGAATGCTTGTTTCAAAACAAAAATTGAAGGGATGCTTATGGGACCATTGAGTTAGGTCACCGAAGTGAGAAGACTCTTTCGAGTTTTCTGATTCATCAATCAAAAGCTATTTCTGAAAAGTTTTAAGTGAGTCATTATTTGGCAAATCACTAAAGGCTAAAATGTTTCCAAAGAAATATATTGGAATCAGTCAGATAAATGTTGAACAGTTAGGTATTTTTTCCCTTAGAAACAGAATATATTTCTCCTGCATGCATATTTCCCAGACAGATTTTTTGTTTTCTCTTGTTTCTGAAAAACAGACATGCAAGTCACTTGGTTAAAATAACGTTTAAGATTTTCATTTAAACAAATTAAATTCCAAAAAAAAATGGTAACTTTTATCCAGAGCATGAATCAAGTTATTAGTTTGGCTCCATGTGGTATAGACCAGCTGTGACTGTGGTATGCAAGTCTAGGAAAAAAAAAAAAAAAAAAGGCAAAATCATTTTTTCTAAGTACTTGTTTTTTCTTTCTAAAATATCTTGGGTAATGAACTTTCATTTTGGAATGATGAACCTGAAAGTATAAAAAAATATTATCCTGGAAAATTGTCTCTAAAAGATATAAAAAAAAAAAACTTAAATATTTAATTTAGTGTCCAATCAGACCGATTGCTGTGGAGTATGGATACGCAGTGGTATAGTGTAACTTCAGCACTAGGCCAGTTTGGACTTGTGCTTCTAAGAGACTGAACCACATTCCACGAGAGGATAAAGGACACTCCAGTGCCTTGCCTGAAATGAATGAGAAGTTTTACATTCCTTCTTCTTGAGAAGGCTTCACAGGATTGATAGTGGAAAGGACATTCACTTATTCATGAGAAATTAGAAATGGGGAGCTTTTGACCACCTTACAAAAAAGTCTCAAAATAGGTAGAAGTCTGTAGGCTTTACTTGGGAGAGAATTGGTAGAAATTATTCTCCCTGATTATTTGAAGGGAGCCCTGGTGGTGCAGTTGTTAAGACCTTGGCTGCTAAACAAAAGGTTGGCAGTTCAAAGCCACCAGCCATTCCTTGGAAACCCTAAGGGGAAATTCTGTCCAAATGGTAGCTGTGGGTCAGAACTGACTCAACGGCAGTAGGTTTAGTTTTTGGTTTTTGGTGATTATTCGAAACTCACAAAAGAGCAAAAAAGGAACCGACTTCATTCATATTTAAAACTTGCTAAGTTTATAAGCTACAAAGTGATTTAAGAGCTATAAAACTTACTACAAAAATCTGTTCCCCATATTTTCCCCCTAAGTTTAATTTTGAAAAGAATAGCCTGATCTATGATTATTCATTCATTCTATAAGCATTTATTGAGAGCCACATTTCTAAATAACTGGGATACATCAGTGAATAAAACAGATTCTGATTCATGTTTTTCATGGAGCTTAACTTCTAGTCGATGGAGACCAATGATAAATGATTCACATAATAAGTAAGTGAGCTATCTGCTATGTCAGTGAAGAGTAGAGCTGGGCCAGGGGTCAGGAGTGCTGAGAGTGGAGGTTTGATTTCAGTAACGGATAGGGCCATTGGATTGGCCCAACTGAGAGCTAAGATCTGAGCAAAAAAACTTGAAAGGAGGTGTGAGAGTCAGCCAGGTGGGTATGTGTGTGTATGGGGGTAGTTTTCCAAGCAAAGGGAACAGGCGGAGCCAAGGTTTCCTTGGTGAGGGAAGCAAGGGGGCCAGAGTGGCTGAAGCAGTGTGAGCCAAGATGAGAGTCATAGCAGGTGACATCAGAGGGACAGTGGTGGCCATACTTTGGAGGACCTGTGGGCCATTTATTGGGCTTTGATGTTCTGCATGATTTAGGGAGCTTTCGGAAGGTTCTGAGCAGAGGAGTGATTTAAGCAAGTTCCAT